AGGACGGCACCCGTCCAAGCCCGGATAGCCGGAGGTGCAGCGATTGAGCTTTATCTAAACGTTTTGGATAGGAACGCATTGAAGCTATGCTCAGTCCCCACGCAATATTAGTTCCAATAACGCCTCTAAAATAATGTGCAGCATAATTACTAGCTATGTGAAAAAAACTCCACTGTATATCTGCAGGTTTCACGTACGGTAAATAACCGCTCAGTATAATTTGAGAATATTGAATTAAACATATTTCGCCGTCTGATTGTTACTCTATGTTAGATGTTGACCGTCTTAGTGTTTACTGCAAACTTCATTGAAATAAGTCAGCATAGGAAGTCATAAAAGGGAGTGGGTCGGGGAAGACTTGCTCGTCAGTGAAGATGATACTAAGTTCTTAAAAAATGGATCAAAAAACCACTTATCAGTTTAAATGTGGTGTTTGTCCTAAATTTCTAGAGAATGCTTTACAAGAGAACTAGTATAATGCACAAGGTTCACTGTCTGTACACGAAGGCTGGTTACTAGATGGGGTGCTGGGGGATAAACCGGAAGAGCTGGTGGCATCAATAATCGACATGAGAGTTTACATTACTTGTGTTGACCGATGCTGTAGTCCACTAGTAACTGGACCATTCACTTTATTTTCAACAAACATTAAAAGCGATACCAACGAAATTTTGGAAATTCCTCTCATCATCACTAAAGTTCTAGTTGATATTATCATGTGGTTAATTTACCGAAGAGTGTAACGAGCCAGCCCGAACCATGGGTGTTTGAACGTACCAAGGTCACTTATGGCGCGGATCCGGATGAGGATGATGTGAATATCTGTTGGCGAAGACGCCGGTTTTCCTTCTATTCCCCTCCACTGACATTATTTTCCCCCGTTCCGTATCGTCGTCGCAGTCGTATCGTCGTCTCCTTGCCGTCAGCACCGCCATGGCCCTCACCCGCAGTTATCCAGAGCGCTGCATTACCACCGGTATCTAACTGATATTCTGTGATCACCCCTCACTCCAAATGGATCATTTGTACAGCTCCTTGGTAACTCTTGGTATCTTCTCCCTTTTCACTGTTTACTATCTCTTTTATTATTAACACATCCTGTTAGTAGCTAACTCCTTCTTCTTCCTGCTCCTTATGTGATTGTGTGTCGTGATGAGTGACAACCCGTTCGGCGTTACTTCCGGAGAATCATATGCGTGAACTACTCCTTTGGGTGTATGCCATCCTCGACATCCTTGGCCCGCTACAAGAGCCTTTTTTAAATATTGCGAAACTCTTTTACCGCACACTAACAACTCATAGAAAAACGCGACATCCCATACGTCAAGACGCCTTAGAAAACCTCATAGCTGCCGCTACGTTGATGGCCGATGGCATGAATGCTTTCTCGTCCTGACAGTTTGTTGAAAATTCGTTCGTTCCATCTCCGACCATCGAAACCATCACTTCTACTCTCTTCAACGTGAACGCAGCTATTCGGCGTTTTCGCTAATCTCGTAGTCCTGGATCAGATGATGTCCCAGTCAGCGTTCTAAAGGCTGATGTAAATGATATTTTTCCATTCCTTCTGCGTAAAAAAATTAATTTTGCTCTGGAAAGCTAAGCCTTTCCTAATTTATGGAAGGAATCGCACATGCTATAAAAAGTTCTTATGAAGGAAATTTTTTATCTGCAACTATACTAAAATACATATTGCTTCCTCTTATAACATATCAGTAGTATAAATGTTAAGCATGTTTTAGCAAAATTTCTATCTCACTTAAACTGGATAGACGACAAACGAAAGGCCAAGTGCCTTCTGCCGTCGCACTTAAATGACGATGGTGCTTCGCAATCAGCTTCCAGCTGCCTCGACCCACCTAAGATATCTGCAATGTCCAATCTATTTATCAAAATCCTGCCGATGGACAAAGATTGTAATCTCCGTATCGAGCAAATCCATACATACGGG